AAGTTCTTATTAGCTGAATACAAATTTTGTATCTTATTGAATGAAATAAATCACTAATTAGATAGCTTAAAAAATATAAAAAAGTATCAATTAGAATAATTGATTTTAATTGTTATTTCTGTAAAAGTTAAATATTTATTTAAATTTTTTTTTACTTATTAATACTAATTCTCTCTGAAAAAAAAACACTTTAGAAGTTCTTTTTTTAGCAATTATTTTTTGAATAGTTTTATCACAAACTAAAATAAATATATATGAGAGGAAAACTAAGTGAAAACTAAAATTTTAGCTTTATTTTTCATTATTTATCTTTTTTTATCTTTTTTTTTCAAAATAAAAATTTTTATTTTTTTATATTTTTAACTAGGACCAAAAAAAGCCATAAGTTTAAACTTTTAATTTAATTTATTTTGATTTAATTTAAATTATTTTATTTTAATTATTTTATTTTAAATATCTCATTTTAAATTATTTTTTTTTATATATGCTAAAAGTATGTATACTTATAACAACTCTGAGAAACCAAATTTACTTAGTATATCCAGCCCAGGTATCTCTAGAGAGTTTATTATAAGTATTGTTGCTTCTATATAGAATTGTATTTATAATTTCTTATATTATCTATATATATAATTATAATAATTTGATCATTTAGCTATATAACTATGAAATAGTGTATATGAAGTTATTTCAAATTTTAGCCTAAGCTTAATTTAGCCTAAAATTCAAAATCACACTTTATCGCATTATTTTGTAGTTATATAGTATTTTTTAATTTTTACTTTTTTTATATGTTTATTTTACTAGAAGATGCCAAAGAATGTTAACTGAAAAATTAACTTTGAACAGCCTAATATATTTATAAAAAATAGAAAAGCAAGATATTGTTGTTAAAATAATATATTATAGTTGATGAAGTTAGTAAATAGAGCAATAGAAGCTGCTGAAGCTAATGCTTCACTAGAATATTTTTAATAATTTACAGCATTTTCTTCTTGTTTCTAGTTGGTTTTGTTTTTTTATTTTTATTTTTTTATTTTTAATGAATAATAAAAAAACTGCTTAAATATTAATTGCAATATATATTCTATTAAATGAGCACTATTATAATTACTAATTAATTATATCAAAGATGATGTGAGAAAATTTCAATTATATTATAAATTACATATTTGAATTCTCAATAAAAATTTTATATAAATATAATTTTGCTTGAGTACTATTGCGATCACTTGCTAATCATATCAAAATGATGCTTGAAAGCACTCCAAGATGAACAATTCATAAATTTATTGAACTTGAACAAGTTTATAAACTTTTAAACTAAACCTAAACTAAACTTAAACCTGGTTTAAAAGTTCAATATTAAACTCAAACCAGACTGTATTTTTAAAAATAAGTTTGGTTCAGGTCTAGTTTGATTTTGAACTAAACTTGAACTCACCCCAAAGTTTAGTCTGATTTGAGTTCATAGAAATACTAGTTCTATTTCTGATTGTAATTTATATAATACTAATTAAGATTTTCTTTCATTAAAGCTTCAAAATATTTGATATCATCTATATTTAATAAACAAAACCTGCCTAAAAGTAATGACAATTCTTCAATATAGCTATACTTTTGTTTCTGAAAACCTGTTAACATCTAAGTGTTTAGCAATTACTCTAACTGACAAGCCTTCTAAATTCTTTTCAACTATTTCCCAATATATATGATTTGAAAGTATCATATCATAAATTTTATTATTATTTCTTATCTTTATCTTTTAATCTGTATATAATTTAGAGCAAATTTGCTTCAAATTTTGTAAAATAATTTTTATCTTATTTAAAATACAATAAATATTATAAATTAACTACAAATAAATTAAAAAATAAATATTTAAATAAATTTATTTATTTTTGTTAGTGCTTGGCAAAATCAAACAAAAACTTGATTTTTGAGTATCTATCAGTTATACAATTAGATTTTAGATTATAGCAAGTATAAAATTTATTTTTTGAAGTTTTATATATATATTTCTTTAATATTAGTGTGCAGTACCTGCTCCAGACTTTTATTAATACTTAAGCAAGTTGACATATAGTAGTACTAAAATACATATATATTATATATCAGAACTAGGACTAGAACATTAGTTCTAAGACTATTTATTTACAGCTAAACCCCACTAGACTATCAACACTCCCACATATGTGATTGATCTAGATTTATACATCTCTCCTTGACTGCCAATTAGTCTGCCACTTTACCTACATTACCTAATATCTTAACTTCCAAATTGGTGCATACTAGGTGGGTGCTTATTTCCTAGTTTGGTGTGTCTGGTCCCAACTAGTATACTTCTAGGAGTTTGTATCTCAAGACATACAGCTACCTCTACCCAATTGGTAAGTATCTCAAGCTTGCATACTACTATAACTAGCTAGTTTTTTGCAACTTTGGGACCTAGATCTTAGTATTTCAAATTCGGTATTGATTTTTGAAGTTTTAGACTAGTTCTAAAAATAAATTTTATATGTAATTTAAAACCTGATTTGTATAACAGATAAATTTTCAACTTTTTTAAAAACTGAGTTTTTATGAAAATCTTGAAAACAATTGGGGCTCACTTTAGAGCAACAAAATGATACATTATATTTGATATACAAAATTAATTTTGAAAAATCACTTTATTATTATTATTATTATATCTTTATTATTATTATTTTTTATTAAATAATAGTATAGGCATGATTCTTTCTGTTTTTTTATTCTACTAATGATTCTCTGGTATAAAATAGCTTACAAATAGATTAAGACTAAATTATTTGATTTTATAAATGACTTTTTGTCTATCTAAATTTTACACACTTACAAAATTGTAAAAAATTGTGAATTTTTATACAAATAACTGTTATTACTTAACTTTTAACTTTTAAAGTCAATATAACTATTTTTAGAACTATTTTACTAGTTTATTTTTATAATTATTAGTATTATCATATAGTCAATTATTGTTTCTCTATGATTATTATGCTTAAAAGTAATAAAATATGATAAACTAAAAAAAATTATATCAACATCAAATTTTTTTTTAAAAGTATTTTTATCAGTAGTATTATCATTATCAGTTATTATATAAGTTTTTTTTTTTGTTTTTTAATGAAATGAAAGTATTAACTCAAAATTTCTGATTTTTCATATTTAAAAAACAAATTTTTAGATGTTTGTTAAACCTTAGACATTACCCGCAACAAAGATGTGCATCAACTCAAAATGTTACAATGATGTATGCGTACACGGTGATACAAGCAATAAGGGACTATTGTTAGTAAATTTTGGAGGCAGTGCGAAAAAATTGCCGGAAATCAGAAATTCGGGCAAATTTGCCCCTAATACGGATTAAGAGATAAGGTTCGCGTATACTTAATTTCTTGATAAATCAAAATGTCGAAAGATAATATAGTATTTAATAGTCGAATTTTAAATTAAGTAAAATGAAAGTTTTATAAACGAAAGTTAAAATAGTGCGTGATTAACAATTACTAATATTGAATTGAATCTTAGATATTGATTTGTACCGGTATACAATTATATATGTTGTGTAAAACCGAGATAAATAACTTATCGACTTCAGCCGAATAGACTTCGGCAAATTTTTTTGGGGTGTCCCAGAATTTATGAAAACAGCAGTAAATACAATCAAACCTTTCTATAATCACACACTTGAGATATAAATATGTGTGATTGTAAAGAAGTGTGACAATTATAGAGGTCAAATTGATTATTATTTATTAATAATAGATTGTTTTTAAAAAAAATGTGCAATAAAGAAAATGTGCTTATATAGGTGACTATAGAGAGGTTTGACTGTATATTGCGTATTATTGTTTTATTTGATTTTACACTGAATTACACATATACTTGCTGAGTGCTTGTATTCGTTATCTCGATTATTACATACACGTGTCCTGGCGTATGGTCTGATGGCCCTTCCTCTGATAGTTACACCGGACCACTTATAGGGAAGATAAACAAATGCAATGATTTATAAAGTCAAAATTCATCCTTATTTAAAACAAATTTACATGTATCAAAAGAATGAAAATACAAGAAAAAGAAAAGAAAAGAAAAAGGTTGAAGTTTTAATCCCTCCACGATCACACCGCTAATAATTCCATCGTGATTTCAATTGCTTTCCATATTTAGTTTTAATTCATATCATGCCATTTGCAATTTCATCAAGTAAAATTGGACACCTTGATACGGCCACTAAATTTGCCATATGACTAATTTCAAATCCCATTGAAGATCTTCATTTATTATTAATTATAGCACTATCGGGTGGTCTGATAGAGGACAGGCTTTTTAATATTATATTCTTATTCTCTTCACTTGTTCGTAGAGGATGACAATCTTGGCAACTAATTCTTTATGATTCGTTCATGATTCTTCACAGGTTACTTGGTCCAAGTGGTTCGGTTTTCTTTCGGGCCAAAAGATTCTCGAGGTAAAAAGTTTATGAACGTGAACCAAGTTCACGATGCTACATGTTTTCGCAGACCCATAGGGATTACGTTTTTGCCGCCTACGATGTCTTTTTAAAATGAGACATTTCAGTTAGGGTTAGCGTAGGTCTAATCTGAGAAATTATGTCAAAGTTTGTATCAAACGAAGAGTGATTTCTTAGATGAAATTCGAGGTCAAATAAAAGCCATGTCTTTGTAACTGAAGTTGATTGGTCAGGATACGTAAGAATGCATCTAACGGCATGAAACAACGAAGTGGAGATGTAGGAAAAGGATGCTTAAATCAATCTTGGAGTTGCTCATTTTACCGATAGTCATTTCGCCGAAAGTTCATTTAACCAATCACATAGAGCTAGGGTTAGCATTTGATAAGTTGCAAGTATATATTTTATTAAATTGTCACTTGGCTAAATGAGCTGTCGGTAAAACTTTGTCGGTGAAGTAAGGCGTATTCGAGAAAGCAATTTCCCCATAATATCTATGACATTCTCAGATCTTGGAATTAGAATTGGATAACGAATTCGCTATCGTTTTCTAAAACAAATAGTATTAAAAATGTTTAAGCAATATTCTAAACAGACGTTATATGAAAAACTATTACCTTCTATTAGTTTTTCAAGCTGTTCGTCGAAATTTGAATCATTTACAGGTGGTGAAAGATTAGTAAAATTGAGAATTCTACTACTATATATTGCATTAGGATGTGATTCATAATGAAATTCATCGTATATAGACGAATCTTCGGATTTTTTTTCAACTTGTTCAATTTGTGCGTTAAACTTAGACTTTCTATTTCTTCTAATGTCATAATACCATTCTTTTATTGTTTGATACAATAATTTAGAAGTTGGTCTTTTGTCAGGGCGAGCGTCCCAACATTGCATAATCAATTTAGTGATCGATCTTGGTACATAATATGGAATTCTTGGACGTAATCCCCGGGCAATACTTACCGCTAAGTCATAATCATGTGATATATTGTGATATGGTAAAATGCCAGTGACTATTTGATACGCTACAACTCCAAAAGAATATATATCAGATTCTAACGTATGTTTCTTCCCAAATAAAACTTCCGGTGCAATATATGGTAATACACCATATATTTCTCGTGATTCATTGGATTGTGGACCTTGATTTGATGGCCTGCATAACCCAAGATCTGCAATATTTAAAAAATTTTCACCAGCATTACTACTGAATAAAAGATTTCCTGGATGAAGATCTTGATGAATTAAGTTACTATCATGTAGATGATCGAGCCCTGTGCTAATATCATGTAATGCATTTATCTTTGTTTCCCAGGTCGTGTTGGTATTAGATTTCAAATATTCATAAAGACTGCCTGAAGATGCAAATTCCATAACCATTACATAATTGTGTGTTTCATCGTCTCGTGTAATTCCAAAAAGCCGAATAAAAAAAGTAGTATCCTCTATTTTAAAATATGATCCAACCTAAATTATGCATATATGGAAATAAAAATTCCATGCAAACTCATAAATTACATTTATTACGGGAATAATGCTTACTTCTTCCAAAAAGCTATCATTCAATCCCATAGAGTTAGATAAGATTTTTAGTGCTACTTTAATATCCCCGTAACGGTCCCATTTGCCATTATTTATATTCCATTTTTTAATTGGGCCATCTAGCCAAGTAGCTGAATATACAGTTCCGAATCCACCTTGAGCAACATACTTTCGTTTCACTAAGTTTTCGGATGGAATCCACTCCAATACTTTTTTTGGGCTAGTTGCCGTAAGTTGGGCATTTTTAAGAAACTTGTCAATATTTTCATTCTCACTAGTCCAATGTTTAGATTCTTCTTCAAAGCGTTTTGAATTGCATGCCTGGCACCACCCATTTAGATATAGTTGGCTGCATTCTTTGCACCTTGAATAAATAAAGAATTCAAATTACAAACGCATCTTCTAATAAGATTCACATGACACTTACTCTCTGACAAATGAAGTTTAGACGATTTTAATCAATAATAACTCATTTTTAAAGATAAATGCAGCACAAAACTTCCATACTTACTCCCTACAATTGAATAGTTAATTATAATAGTGTCATTAAACAAAAAATCTACTGATTTCAAATTGAATATGATAATCTTATGCTTACAACCTAATAAGTTAATTACAATCAAGAATGTATCAATTAATAAATTAATTCCATAGAGGCACAGAAATTTAAAAAATGAATATTAGATTTAATTACCGCCTGGCAAGTTAGATATTTAATTAAAAGCAAAAAAAACTCCTAATTAAATGCCGATTCAAAATTATGTTAAGTGATTTTACTATATTTATACTCACTCCCTATTCATTTGACAGGTTTTTATTAGAGAAGCAGCAACAAATGACAAGTCGACTTCAAAATCAGTGTAATTAAAACTTATACTAACTCGCTTAATGTTTTGATAAGAAATGCATTTATTAATAAAGATAGCTAATTTAAATTAATTTAAATGAATATAATTAAATTTATACTTACTCACTGTTATTTAATGGATAATTATTTAGAAATTATTGATTAGTAAAAGAAATAGATTAAAATACCAATTTTAAAAATGAACATGATTAAACTTTAAGTACCGCCTAATAGTATAAACGAGTAACAAATTACGTATTATTGTTTTAGCAAATATTTATTTTAGCAGTAAATCTGAAAGAATTTTGTAGTCACCGTCTAAAATTTGATTAGTAATCATTAGAAACGTATCTTAAAAAAATAGATAACACAAGTTCATTACTCACAAACTAGAAATTTATTGGGAATAATAAATTATAAATACTTTGACAAAATTCGCATTGAAAAAAAATACTGATATTATAGTTACCGCCTATGATTAATTAGAAACTGGTTAATAAAAAGAATTTGATGGAAAACTGTTTTTAAAATATTAATATAATTAGACATAATATTTACTCTCTAGAAAGTTGACCCGTGAATTAACTAAGAAGTTATTTCAAAAACAAGGCTATATTTTGTATTTACCTTCTAATAGTTAGGCAAAAATTAGTCAATAAAAGTGTGCTAAAAAATGTTAATTAAAATGATAACACTATTATACTCACTCACTAGTAATTTAACAGTTAAATGAATTATTATAAAACAAAAAATTTTAACACATTAATTCGAAACCTACCTCCTGGTAATTTAATGAAAGTATAATGAAATTACATTCATGTTAATTCTTAAGGCGACACATATCAGCAAATTAATTAAGACCAATTTAATTGCATATTTGCTTAACATAACCATTTTTTTAAAAATTATACATGAACCAAATACATTATATTAACCGATCGAATTGTGGTATGTATGACCCCTTTTACTATATTAAACAAGTAATTTCCCCTTATAAAAGGTTTAACCTGGTATATATAACTCCCTTATCATCATTGGTTATAACTATTGATATAACAAAAAATCGCAGCTTTTGTCACTATTCAACTATTTTCGATACTTAGTGATCCAAATTAATTCCAGCTTAAAGTTTCGACAAATATGTTAGTATTTTTTGAGAAATTATTTTCTTATATACTGTTATTGTCAAAAAACAAAGTACGACTATCTTATGTGATTTCTCAAGATTAATTGGGACTAACTGAAATTAGTAAGTCAGGATAATTTCTGTACTACCTGCGGTAAAAATTTAAGCTGATTTGGACATTAGTTATCGAAAAATCGTTTGAAGGATGACTAAAAATTAGTGCTCGACACAATCAAACAAAAATTCAAAAAGTTTTGGTTGATCGTCCGACTTAATCATTTTGTTTGATTGCGCCGATCACTACTAAAAACTATGATTTTATGATAAATCCCAATTTTTTTCATTAATCATAACTGATAATAAGCATAGTGCAGTAAAAATTAATTACTATCGATTCTACTGCCAATAATCAATACCCAAAGCTTGCTGATACTTGTGGGAAATGATACGTGTCGTGATTAAGCGTGTCAGCAGGTAGAGAAAATCTACTATATAGTAAATTATGATTACCGTATCATATGTAGTGACTTGAATCGGTTAATTGACCCGAGCTGAATAAATTTCGGCTAACTGATTGAGTAAATTCTTACAGCTGTTTTCATAAATTCTGGAACAAATGAAAAAATTACTGATGACCGAATCGATAAGTTTCCGAGTTCGGTTACTTGCTGATTTCGACTCTGTTCCAGAATTTATGAAAACAACTGTAAGGTATAACCGGTTGAATGAAATAATTCGGTTCGGTTAACCGATTATGGTAATTTTTCTCGGTTCAAATCACTAATCTGATGTGTGTCGTCATCCTTACTATGAGCAAAAAAACACTATAATTACCGTCTAATGAATGAAGGAGTCAATCAGAGAGACAAAACATCCAAATATGTCAAAATGCCCAATATTAAAAATAAATGCAAGCATAATAATTACCGTCTAATAATTTAACGGATGATCAATTATAGTATTTGTCAAAAAGTCCAGATTTTAAATTAAACCTTATAGTTACCGTCTAAATAATTGAAGCAGTAAACATATAATTTAATGGAGAATAAATAAAGAAGAGCTTAATATATTGTAATTTAATTTGATGCTTACTCTCTTATGGTTTTAGTGTAGAGAAAGATGAAATTTTAACTTGAAATGTTTGTTTTAAAAGCAATTAAAGTTGAATCTTGTACTTACTCTCTGTAATTTAATTATATTGGTAAAAGATTTAGGATTGATTTAAAATAATTAAATTTTATACTCACTCCCTAGTAATTAACGAACATTCAATTACTATTAATAACAACACTCGAATATCATAAATAGAGATAAATATATATTTACAATCTAGCAATAAAGAATAATATATATATATATAACAAAATTTCAATTGGAGAAAGATTTAGGAATAAGCGTAAAGTTTATGTATACCGCCTTGAATAGTTGGTTATTAATAAAAAGAAGTTTACTTCAAGCGTCGATTTATTAATTTATACTCACTCCCTGGTAATTTTAAATGTAATTAATTATGAAAAATTCATTATTTCAAATTGAGTATACAGTACACACTTCTAGTAAGCAGGGATGGATCAGTCCTGAAAAGACCGAATAAGGACCAGTCTTTTATGGTTATTCGGCCCTCGATCTTGAGACTAGTCCGGACCGGTCTTCATAAATAGTTAAAACAACTAATTAAAATTGTGTGGATTTTGCTGTAATTTGGATTATATATTTTACAGAAGTGAAACAAATTTTAAAAAACTTCATATTTGCATTTCAGCATGATCCAATTTCAGCATAATCCACCACAAAAATTATTAAGAAATTGTTACATGATCGCTTATTTTTAACACTCTCCGCTAGCTAATAAAATGGTCCGTTTTTGAGACCGAGACTGGACTGAAAGATTAATGGACCGGTCTTATAAGGGACCGGGACGGACTGGACCGGGCTGATCCATCCCTATTAACAAGCATAGAAAGCATTGGGAGACGTAAAAACTACAAACAAATATCTTTGTTCATTTAACAGTGTCCCGAGCTTTCTAGTTAGAATGATCAAAAATCAGGTGATTTCAGTGGTATAACCAATGTTGCCGACAACTGTTAACTGTTTCGTCGATAGCATTTCGCCGATAAGGTTGTCCTGATTATACTTAATGTCGGCTAAAAGTAAATTTTCGGCGAAATGGTTGTCAGCGAGTTCTGCCAAAACCGATTTCAGCTACTATAGAATCTACCCCATCTACACCTGACTAATAATTTATAGATTATCCTACCACTCCTAGCTAATCAGTTGATTTGTGACTATTCCCTTAGGCATAAATAAACATATACTCACACTCTGGATAATTGGCTATAGGATTTAGCATAAAAAGTTTTTAAACAGATAATATAATGAACCTTCATAATCACCTCCTAAATTTTGATTATAATTTAGAAGATTATCAAAATAACTAGGAAGGAAGGCATAATCCAACTTTTATACATACTCCCTAATAATTTAGACAAAAGATAAAAAGCATCGTTCGTTAAAATTTTTATAAGTAAATAAATCTAAGTTGTATACTCACATACTAGCAATTGATATGGCAATTAATTAGTGTCGATGAATAAAAAACCTTTATTGCAATTCCTGAAATGACTAATCCGAGTATACGCTTGCTAATTCAAAATTCAATACAATTCACTCTCGTTATAGTGAATTCTCGTTATAATGAAGATTCCATATAGTGAAGAATTTTTGAATTTCTGAATTATTAAACTTCAACCCAATGTATAATGAAGTACATATAGTATCCTCTCGATATAAGCTATGGTGAAAATTTTTTTTCTTAGTCCGGAGACTTCATTATAACGAGAGTAAACTGTAATCAGACGAAGAAAAACGTCTGACCAAATGCAAGAGCTGCAAAGCTAAAGGTGTCTTTTCGAATTTTTAATTTCACTCTAAAATAAATTTAGGGAACTGATGTTTCCCCTTTTTTGATATTTCCACGCCCATGTAGATCGCCTTTTAGAAACATTATCTCAACCAAATTTGATGATTTTTTTATTTTTTTATTTAAATTCTATGGATTCGTAAAACTCAATTAAAAAAAAAAAAAAAAGTCATCAAATTTGATTGGATGGTTACTAAGATACTTTCGATAAAAGTTTTAAAAAAATTTTAAACGTCTAATCAAATATTAGCAGCAAAAAAAATTTGTCATGACCTTGACAACCATCTAACCAAATTGATCTGTAGAATTAAACAATAATAATAATTCATCAAATTTGGTTGGATGGTTGTCGAGATACCTACAATCAAAGTTTTAAAAAGCTTTTAAACGTTATCAAAATATTACCTACAGCTAAATTTTTCTTAACTTTGAACGAAGGTATCTTGACAACTATCAATTAAATTCAATGAATTTTTATTTAATTTTTAAATTCTACGGATCCGTAGAATTCAAATAACAAATGTTCGTCAAATTTAGTTGGGTGGTTGCCGAGATACCTTCGAACAAAGTTAAAAAAAATGAGATCTACATAGGGTGGAAATATCAGTTCCCTAAATTTAATATTCTCGTGCATTCGCTCGTTATGTAGAATTGTTACATATGCTCCGAACATTTTTCGTTATAGATAGGTTTTTCAATAGAACGTGATATAAAAAAATTACAAATATACTCAGATCGGCAATACAGCAAACCTTTAAAATTTTATGCTTACAACCTAATCCGAAATTTTAAAATTAATAATAAATATTCTTTCTAAAAACAAGGAATAAATGGGTTGGTACTTACTTACTGTTAAGTATAAAAAGTATTAAGTTATTAAAAGAAATGTTGATCGTAAAAATTGACAATCTAAATAAACATAATTAAATTTTTACTCACTCTCTAGCGATTAATATAACAGGTAATTTAATTATATAAGTATCAATTAATGTAATTATTTTAGGAAGAATTTAATCGACTAAATAGTTACATTCTAAGAATTAACAGTAATCAGGATCAAATTTAAATCATGACTATTAATTAAAAATTAATATAAATAAACTTAGTACCCACAGCCTGTTAATTTGTGAATATTCAATTGAAAAAGGAGTATACTGTATTAAATAAAAATAGAAATTCTGATCTTAAAAATAAACATAACAAATTTTACAATGAAATACCGTCTAAAATTTTTAAGCAAATGGATTGAAGATGCACATTAATTCACAGTATATTAAAACAATTGACTTTTAAAGACTTAATTACCGCCTATAATTGTTTATTAAAGTATCAGTTGATAAAAATAAATTTAAAATACTAGAACAAATAAAAACGTATACTTACTCTCTATCAATTCAATTGACCAAAGTAAATCGTTATTGAAAAAAAATTCTTTCAAAAAACGGTTTTAAATGAACAATTTAAATTTATACTAACTCTCTAATAAATTAATAAGCAATTATTAGAAAATAGCTTTCAAATCTGCAACTTTCTGATTTTAAAGTGGAATTAAACTTCATACTCACTCACTAGCAATTTATTGAGTAGAAAAGTAAGTTTAATGACAATGATAATTTAATAATGATGTTTAGGACATAATTCGATACATACGGGCTGGCAGTTTATTAAATAGAATTAATGAAGAGTCTACTTAACATATATATATAATAAATTGAATTTTATACTCACCTCCTAGCGATTTAAACAATGAAATGTAAAGAAAATCTTAAACTACCATTTTTGGTCTAACTTTCTACCTACAGGCTGATAATTGATTAAAGAAATGTTAGAAATTTAATAGACAATCTACGAATAATTTTACTTTTTTTTTTTGCTTTTGTGTAAATATTGAGGGAATCGTTAAAGCTCGGTGCTGCCTATAATTTAAGGCATTTTATTAGCACCTGCTGGACATGTTTAGAATCCGTGATTCGAGGAAGATCGAAAAGAAAGCTGCAAAGCCGGTAATGTGACCTTTACAAAATGGTAATAACTGAAACAATTTGTGCCCGCAGTTGGCATCACATCATGATGTTTTAACTTCAGGGCCTGGTGACGTACAGACTGAAATAATTTATCATCTAGGCAATTCGGGCGTCAACTCCATGTAAATTAGTAGATTCTAATAACAATGACATGATCACGAGACGATCCATAAACTCAGCAGTGAAATTTATATAACCTGAGAGAATCAACTCAGTTGATTAATCATCTGATCCATGATTCCGCTATCATATTCCAATTCAGTAAATTACTTGATTCATATGACCAAAAGCACTTTCCCACATGTTTAAATAATATCGATACTTTCGTACGTACGTACGACAGTACGTGAGTACGTATCCAGCTGGGACCCGTTCATGCCATCCAAATTTTCCCGGGTACTCAATTATCCGGCTTTAATGAACCCCAAATCTACCCTAACTTATTATATAGCGATAGAGAAATGGACATTTATTGTACGGGTCTTATGTGACAACCCGTGCTTTTTTCATTTACTTATTGGCACGGGATTGTTACGTCAGACACCGTACAATAAGATAGTTATTGTATGGTATGTTGAATAACCCAGTTACACACACGGGTTCATATTTAATCCCGTGCCTTCGGCACGGAATATGAACCCGTGTGTAACTGGGTTATTCATTACATACCCATACAATAACTATAATTTATTACGCAATTTTTGTTTAAATAAACGTCACTTTCCATAACGGTATAATGGTTACACAAAATCAATAAAAAAACACTAAATCGAATGATTAACAAGTCGATTAATAACAAAATCACCCTTCGGGACTATGTAAATCATAATCTAGTAGTTCCGATGTGTCATTTTGTTTGTAAAAATCCCATATTGAATTTCTTGTTAGTAATCCGATTTGCGAGTTTATGAAATATAAAGCCAGGTAGTTTTTAAATTGGTTACTAATTTATAAATCATATGATGAAAATAAATACTACCTGATCTAAATATATGCACCCGTGATATCACGATACAAATCAAATTTTAATTAAAATTAATTTGGTTTATAGTACGATATCATCAGCATTATTTTTAGGAATAAGTCATGGAAGAAAATGTCACATCACTAATATATTTATCGTTATAGTTATTACAGAAATATATAATATAAAAAATAATATACTGTAGTTATCGCTACATTTTTTTGCCATGACTTCTACCTATTTTAGATGGACGCTGAAACATGACAACATCTTACACATACCTTCTATTAATTTGATAAGAAATAAGAAAAATACTTGAATGCAAATGTTAAAACGAAGAAATGGATTTTTACTTACTTACTAATAGTTTTATATAATCTTGATTTAAAAAGTGTTATTTGTTATAATAAACTTATTTTAATTTAATACTTACAATCTGTAATGAAATTTAAGAACTATTAGTTATTAATAATTAACATTTAAATATTATTGAGACTGAACGTGCGATTACCGTCTATAATTTGTTAAAGAATTGTTTAATTTAGACGTTGATTTAAATATTTTGATGTAGATATCTTTTTAATTAGCTTTACTTACTCACTAAAATTTTATAAATAAATAATTAATGTAGAGTTGAAAAAAACTCCAGATATTAATATAATTGAGTGCAAAGTTAAAACCGGTAAGCCCAATTTAAAATTTTCACCGTGTACGATTTAGCATCTGAAGAATAGTGCCAGTGCATTTTGAAATACGTGTTTTGCACGTATAGTACATACTAGTGCATCAGACTATGCTATCTTCAAACCCCGATACATTTCGCCAAGAGGAATTTCTGTTTCTCACTATGAGTCTCCTCCTAGCTTCGATCTACAGTTGATCTACGAAATTTGTGTTTCGGACGAAACACCAGACGTACGTGCAACAAAAATATTTATTATAGAAACGACCACGGATCGTATACGTATATTTTTCGGAGGGTAAGTCCGATACAGTGAAAATTTAAATGTTTACTTGCAGGCTTTCACTCAAATGATTATACTTACAGACTAGTATTTGAAAAATATTAAGAATATCTTTAATGACGGATCTATTTAAAACTTTCGAATTTTTAACAAAATAATAAATTCTTATTTACTCCTTAGACAAACTCATCGAAAAATTGTAAATCTACGCTTCTATAAAGACGGAAATAATTTATCACCTAAAGACCTGAATATCGTAGTTAAACTAGGTATTTCTATATTAAAGCAGGGTATGAATAAAAAATAGTAGAAAGATATTTTGGAATTCTCTGATTGATTATTAATGTCATGCCCAGAGTTGGAAATTCAAATAACAATATGGCAATTTTTGTGAAAGTACCTTTTTTTTATTAAGTTCACATTAAAAAAAAATAAATAAAATTTTGCTAATTAGATAAAATTATTTATGTTCACAAATGTGAACAAAAAATAAATTGATTTTTTTAAAAATTTATGTTCACGGTGAACACCGTAAACATATGATTTCCAACACTAGTCATGCCCCTCCCCTAATCATTCTTTGTACCCTAAAATTTTTACAAAAATTTCTTTGGAGCATGGCGTTATTAGTCAATCGGAGAATTCCAAATTCCCAATGACATTTTCCTAGACCAGTACTCAACCAATTTCGACACAATCATTTCCTGACAAATTTTATGTGGCTAAGTAGTATTGTTTATCCGGTAGGTACTTGACGGAAAAAATTTCACATTTATCCGCAAATTTTTATTAAAATCATGTGACAAATTATTAATCAATTTTAATATATAAATTCTTTCCGTAAGTGTATTCGTCATACCTGTCAGATAAACTAGTTATCTGGCATGATATACGGATCATGGACATCGGCAGACATTCGCATGATTGGCAGTTTAAAGCTGTTCTCAAGCATCTAAATCAATTGATCAGATAATAACCGCGATGACGCTCAAGCATCACAATTGATGACGATATTTATAGAATTAAATGCTTGTGCATACTTTTTCTGTTTTTCGTAATGTTCGCTATACTACCTAAAAAACCTAATGAAAAAAAAATTTCTTTTCGATCAACCGTCCGAGTTTCAACTTTAGTTACGTCGGCTCCTTTTAAAGATTTTAACAATTTAAAATCCTTTAAAATGGAAAAAAATCTACCCAAGCTTTTCAGTTTTAGGTCTTCTTTACTGAGAAGATATTAAATTTAAATGAGTGAATAGTGGAATAATAGTATTAATTGTAGTTTGTTAAACGTTAAAAGATTGTTGTATTTAGTAAACTCATATTAATGTATCGATTATTTGGTTTTAAAGCTTCGAACATTAAAAAAAAAGTGGCTATCTTTTTGACCGGTGAGAAATTTGTTGAGAATTCATTGTTTATTATGTTCGATATGCAAAAAATGTAAAAGTAGTGTTTGAGCAACCTATATCAATGGTAATTTTTTGAAGAAAAAAGGTGGTTTGTGTCTCCCTGATTTTGTCATCGGAATGGTAACTCATTTGATTCATTTATTTAATTTCCGACTAATTAAAATTTTGCTTCCGATCACTTGATTGAGGTGCTTGAGAACACCTTTACTTAGTTCTAATAAAATATTTTCGTCATTCTGCCATTCTTCAAGGGTCCCACAGATTTTTATTGCTGATGGACGGTTTGCAGCCTCACTTTCCCAACATTTTCTCATCAAATTTATGTAACATTGTGGCTTGTTCCAATAATTATTGGCCGTAAATTATTATGGCATATTTCAATTTGAAGTCGTTGTCCAAATTCACGATTATAAGATACAGGTTTTCCAAATAATATTTCCCACATAATTATGCCAAATGAATAAACATCTGATGCTATTGAATAATAACCTCTATCTAAAGCTTCTGGTGCAATATACGGTAAAATTCCATAAATTCCACGTTTTTCTGCATTTAATGTTATATTTGATGATATGGAAAGCCCCAAATCTGCAATATAAGCGTTATGCAAATGTTCTTGTAGAATATTACCACTATGCAAGTCTCGATGAATAAGTTCTTGAGAATGAATTATTTGAAGATCAGAAGCAATACAATGCAATAATGTTAATTTGTCCTTCCATTTCAGTTGTGCTACAGAACGAAGGTTTTGACGCAATGAACCCATACTTGCATATTGTAGGACAAGGATATAATCTCCAGAATCATCTTTTGATATTCCATGGCATTTTAAAAATGAAGGATGTTTAGAACTAATATCACAATACGCCTTTAACTTTAATGATAAATTGAAAAAAATAAAGTATTTAATATAGTATTTAAAAATTATTAAGAAAAAATAATGAGCATATAAATAAAATCACCTCTTTAATAAATTCATCTTTATAAGATTTTTGTCCATTGATTAATTTGAGCGCGACTTTTCTCCAAGTACTTTGTTCTTTATCTAGCCAACTGGCATAAAATACCGTTGCAAATCCACCTTGTCCTATTTTTTCAATATCTTTAAACTCTTTTTTTAACATCATCATCATCATCAATGTTAGAATTTTCTATTGTCCGTTCACCTATGACTAAAAAACATTAGCAAATAAATTTATACTACGTATATCGAAAGTAAATTTAATAAAATTACCCAACATCTTATTATTTGCCCTAATTATTATTAGAAAAAATGCATGTTAAAAAATTATAATTGCAGTAAAAATTAAATAAATAGATTATTTACATTTGGTACCAATAGTCTGCCTTTTGTAAATCTCTCGAAATTCCAATCCCATTTCTATAACAATAACCAAGTCGAGACATTCCTTTAGTCTCTCCCATCTCGGCGGATTTTTGATATTGAACAAATGCCTTATAATTATCTTTTTCAACTCCAATTCCATTCTGATAGTAATATCCAACTTGATATGTTGCAATAGCATTTCCCAATTCAGCAGATTTTTGATAATTAACGAATGCCTGATGTTCATCCTTTTTAACTCCTATTCCATAAAAATAGCAGTCTGCAAGCTTATACATTCCGATAGCATTTCTCATCTCTGCAGATTTTTGATAATTAGCAAATGCCTTTTGTTCATCCTTTTCAACCCCTATTCCATATTTATAACAGTCTGCGAGATTTTCTATTGAAGTAGAATTTCCCATCTCTGCGGATTTTTGACAATTAACGAATGCCTTTTGC